CAAAACGTCGAGTCATACTGAAGTTTGTGCTGAAGCGATTTCAAGTCGAATTCGCGATTCACAGTTTACTCAGTTCGAGAATGCGAAACTTCACTACAGTTTCCTCCAAGTAACTGAAATTATTCAGATCATAGTATATAAACGATCTGCCTCATACCTTAAGTGGCAATTAAGAAAGCAGGCATAAATATATTCTGCTATATACTACTGATTGGCTGTAATGAGTAGTTGAATACCACTTGCCCACATCAATTTATAGGAGTATTGTGGTAATTGTGTACCGCGAAATAATTTCTTAATTGCGAATTTGCTTTAGTGTTTTTTCCAGCTTACATGGACCATTCAACAACGCACAAACAAATATTGAATTTACTATGGAACATGAAAGTGATGGAAGGTTTCATTTCCTTGACATTGCCATGCAACGCTTGGAAGATGGTAGTCTCCAGTGGTCAATTTACTGAAAGCCGACATGAAATGGGCAATACTTGCATTTCACTAGTTTTTTCCAAATGGCTTTAAACGTGAACTGGTCAAAACTGTGTTCTGTAGAGTCAGGAACTTATGATTCTCGAAAAATTTTTTCGAGAAACAACAGTCACCCTCAGAAGTTCATTAACAAGAATAGAAGCTGTGAAGGCTCTAACGCCAAACAAAACACACTGTGGAGGGGGAAAATGCCTATCTTCATTCAAGTCGATTTCAATGGTGGTGATATTACAGCACTTGTCAACAGAAGATTGAATACCTCACTAACTAGAGCCTATCGTGATAGTTAAGGTGGTTCCCATCTATCGGAAAACATGCTCTTTGGTGCAATCAAAAGTAGACAGATACCCTTCTGATGTTAACTCCATATGTATATACACATTTACATGTATCTGCGTAACCAGTTACATTGGAAGGACAGAAAGAACGGCACACCTCCGGTTTTCTGAACTTGTACTGAAAAACTTACGTTTCAAGGGAGCAATTGCTTTCAGCAGTCCCACTGCCACGCATCTCCTTGACACCGGTCATGGAGTGGACATCGCAAGATCGTTTAAAATTATCAAATGGCAAAAGAGTTCAATTCTCTTCAAGTTTGCCGAAGAAATCTCCATCATTAGCCTGAAACCCGATTTATGTGTGTGTTCGGTCTTTCTTTGCCCTGGTAACTGTATGTTTCCATCCTCTCTTTCATTTGACCATATAATCTTTGGCTTTAGCCTCTTGCCTTTATTACATAAATCATTTACTATTCTATGCATGCACTGACTGATCTTTTGTTTAAACTTGAACTCTCTGTCAACTGACACCATGTCAAAATTGAGAGTGTTAAAACTGTTTCTATACATAAACTTAATAGTGTCTTTTGGCTGTAAGCAGATGATGAGAAGTCAACGAAATAAATGATAGTACCACATTATCCTGGACAAACTGTTGTTCTTGCTTTATTCAAATTCACAAAGGGGAATAAATGTATAAAATTTCCAGTTAATTGATCTCAGTGGACTGAAATGTTCAGTTAACCTGTTGGTGTCTAGTACACAGGATTCTACGATGAACATAAAGAAACAAGATTGATAATGGTTACTAGTGGAATGCAGGACTCACATTTAATCCTTCTATAATATCGTCACCAAGACTCGAAACCGAAACCCATGTATTCAAACAGCGAATTGTCTTTATCCACTGGTCCACTGAGCCATGGTAGTCACCCCTTGGGCAGCGTCCATGCCAGGAGCGGATACGTAAACAGGAAATAACAATTCCTTATATATTGTTTCTGGTGGTTGACTAGCCCTGTGTACAACGCTTTCATCAATGAAATGACGGGTGCTAAGCAGGCCTCTCAGTACGAGCCCATCATATACTGGGAGAAAATATAGCTGGAGGATACCAAGTTGGATAAAACATTCGTCTTGGATCCCATTGCTTGCCACTATTAACCAACTAACTTTGTTGAGTTTTTCTTAGAATATTTAGGAAGATAAATGTCACTACAAAGAACCAGGAATTCTTTGACTCTTGGCTTGAGCCAGTCATATATGGAGTCATAGACACCCACGTTGGGTTCCTATGGATGCTAAAAACCAATGACTTGAGACGTTTTGTGATATGGCTGCCACAAATCATCATGTTTTCCGATGCTGTTATCCTTTCCGCTTCTTATGGTTCTTTCGATTTCTCTTTTCCTTCCACCTAGTGTGGCAACTTGAGTGGGTACATCTTCGCTCAAGTTCTGTGATGGAACTCAGTAGGTCAATCAGTCAATTACAAAGAAACAAGTTCGTCATTTTGCAAATTACACGATTTGCTGAGGAGATTAACCACAGCTTGAGGTCAAAATATGTGAAATGTAGTGATTACATAAATGCCAGTGACTGGTAATCCTTTACATCAAACATTGGTGTCGCGAGCCGGCCAGACCGAAGCGGTGTGAACACCAGACTGTGGTTTCGCTTGCTTGAAGCCGATACGTTTCCAACTACTCATATCAGTCTCTCAGCAGTATGTAGTACCAAACTATTGTCACACCTCAAATAAATGCCTATTTAAATGTTTTTGTGAATTGTATATAACCAACTTTTAAAAATATTCAATAACCGTAAAATTCTGAATGACCTTGACGATAATGTATTCAAACAAACCAGTGACTTACTTTCACTGATTCTAACTGACTAAATTCATAATCGAATCCACCAAGCGTAATCAATTCAAAATTAGCACTTGAAATTGGATTCAACTGGAATGCTCCGACGATAGAACTTTGACTTTGACTATTGCCAGTGAATTGTGAAAAACGATTCGTCTGTTCATTGTCCAATGGATGCTGAGATGAATAGAAAAGTTTATCCAGCCGATTTATTTCTCTTAATGAAGAGGAATGTGATGTTGGTTGATAATTTTTATAGTTATTATTGTTGTTTCTATTGGCATTACTATTACTCATACTGACTGCTTCTAAATGACATTGGAAATTGCCACCTTGTCCTGTGTCTGGATCACTGACAACAACAAAGGCTAATAATTGTGTCAGTGTGGACGATAGAGGTACATCGTCAAGATTATAAGAATCAAAATTTGTGTTCATTCGACTACTGATCTGATTGGTCTGTCCCGGTGTCTCATTTATATACAACTGTAGTACATTCTTCCTATTCTCTTGTGATTCCTCCTTTGCTTTACTTGAAGCGATTCCACTGACTGATTCTACAGTGATCTGTGGTGGAACATCATTGACGTCTGTGACAAATACACTGACCACTGCTTCATCAAATCCCGGATGACCTGATTGATCACGGGCAAGAACACGTATCAGATGATGCTTGGCTTTTTCATAGTCTAATCGTCCACGTGTCATTAACCAACCAGTTTTAGAGTCGATTTCAAACAATGCCTTCCTAGAATCACTATTGTTATTATTATTATCATTATTATTATTGCTAAGTTTATCCCCATCCTGATTTACTAGACTATAGACAACTTGACCGGATATCCCATCGTCTGGATCATCAGCAATTAACTGGATCAATTGTATACCTTCAGGAGAATTCTCTGGTACATAGACAACTAGACTTTTATTTCGGAAAACTGGATGATTGTCATTTTCATCTGTTACAATAATCTGTATTTGTGCGTATTTGTAGAGCGGAATGGGGTTGGAAGAATAGAAAAGAAAGAAAGAAAAACAACATAATTAACTGATTATGCACTAAGTGATGGCAAATAATCAATCAAGAAATCAATATCTTTCAATTTTCAAATATGATCTTAGATCAGGTGAGATGCTTCTCTAGTTTTAGATGAGCTCATCAGCGGTGCATGCAGTTCGACTAAGATCAAAGAGCCGGATCATTTCAAATCATTCGAATTCTGAGTGGATCACTTCAATCTAGCTGTCTAGCAAGAAATACCGGTTGTGATGTGAGTGTTACTCAGTTATTCATATCAATCAGTCGATAGTATATGGCATAACACAAATATATCCCCATCCTCGAGTGACTCAGATGGGAAATCTGTTTATTTCATCTTTGAAATTCGTGCTATGACGCCGCACCACTGAGATTTATTAAACTATAACATCTCCCAATGTATTAAAACACAAAAGACTATTTTCAATGTAGGTTCTGCCTCTACGCTACATTGATAGACTGAGACTCACTATGGTGCTTAGAAGATCAGAACAATTTGAAACGGAGTAAAAACGATTCATATTGATGGGTAACCCGGTCAGGGATTTAAGCAGGCGGTCGTATCTTCACCAACTCACTTAAAGTCTCCTCTTTGCCGCCTGCCTCCAATGTCCACTTATTGGTTATCTCTTTTAGATCTTCAGTTTGTGTCACATAAGATATTAGTTATCTACAAAGTTCAGATGTTTTGGAGTCTTTTAGTCTCTCCAGCGTATGCCTCTCTTTTGGCTGTGTACTAACGTTCTTCTGGATGGTCGAATCCACCATATTTAGGAATATTATTGCTGAAATATGATTCAATTCACTTCAGTTATGAACTAAAATGTAACGGTTTTTGCAGTTTTTCCTGTTTACAACATTTGGATAACAAATCGTTTTTATTTTCACTTCTTATGATATTCCAAATAAGGGATTATATAATATTTTTCCCTGTTGGTTTGCTTAGATTTCACTCGTTTCAGGTTTGACCGAGAGATGGCATCAGTAAGAGAACCAGCGGAAACCACCAGGCAGTAACAGACAGTTGTTTTGTCCTGTTTTAGGAGTCTTCATCAGCACGTACTCACCGGAGTTCGATCTCAGGACCATCCAGTTACAATGCGAGCTTGTATACCATTCAGCCACTGGGACTCAATTCAATGGCCCATGAATTCTTACATCTGTAAGCTGGCAGTATACAGCATGACGGCCGACCAATGTCTTTCAAAAGTATTTCACCCCATACTAAACCTGATGGACCCCACTGATCATGACTTCTCCCTAGAACTCTAGGCAAATTCAAGAATTAGTTCGAAGTGATTTGATTTGTCTTAAATTTGATTACGGATTGATATCAGGTAGGTGGGCATTGAAAATTACTGAGGCGTACTCATACCTTATACACAAAGAACACTTACTTCAATATTCATTTGACCAGTGAACGCCGGTGAACCATTGTCTTCAGCAGTTAATATAAAATTATAACTACGTTTTGTCTCCCAATCTAATTGTTTAGCTACTTTTAAATAGAGTTGTTCTGGTCTGGTTTGTTGTAATTGTAGTTGCTGTTGTTGAGGTAGTGATTGTAGATGGTGTTGACTAACAGCCATGAGGGATGTAGACGATGGAGGATGGTAGGCAGTATAAGAGCTGTCTACTTGTCCATAGGGGAGATTATTATAGTAATCAGAATTTGATGATGAATAGGCCGGCTGATTTGAAGAGGTAGAGGGCAACATAGGAAGACTTGGAAATTCACTGGATAACTGGACCAATTCGAATGTATCATCACCTTGTGTGAGCAGCTGATATCTGAGTGAAACAAAAATAGATGAATATGTATTTTGTTTAATCTTTATTTTCGGGCAAAACTGAGAAAAAATGAGGGTAAGATACTGAATCATTAAATATGATAATTAAGTATTTTGTTTAATATGGCGTGCCCAAACCTTTATCAACCTCATTCAACTGCTATATGAGTTAGACAAGGTTGCCAGCTCCCTGATTGTCGTGGACTGGATTATGCGGGAGATTATGTACTCAGGGAGAACAAAGGAATATGTCTAATTCTACATAAACACGAAGACTTCCAGGCGAAAACAAACAGGTTGCCAGAAGAAGCAGGCAGCGAAGGCAAGATTGCAAGTGAACATACAGCAGACAGAAGTGATGAAGATTACCAGTCACTATCAACGGAATAACTGTAGAAGAGGTCACTTCCTTCACTTATCCAGGAAGTAACGTTACAACTAAAGGAAGTCGGCACGGATAAAGATGTCAAAATCAGAATCCGAAAGGCAAGGTAGACCCTCATCCCCCTGAAATCAGTTTGGAAATCTTCACCACTCAGCCGGAAAAACAAAATTCGGATTTCCAGTATCATTGTTAAGTCAGTTATTCTATGTGGGTCAGTACGAAAAGCATTCTGAAAAGCCATCTGCGGACTTTTATCAACAGCTGCCTTCTCTGACTACGTATGGAGGATCACATAGCCAGAAGTAATTAATAACAAGAAACTCGGGGGACGATTAAATCAAGAATCTTTTCTTCAATAAAATGGAAATGGAGACCGTCGAATGACATCACTCGAGTAGAACCTTAATTGAAAACAATAAGTTTGACATGGGTCAGAAGCTGACACAGAGGAGATCGTGTGGGAAGGAGGACTGTCTGGAATCATATGGTCAGCTGCAGAAGACTTCATAGAACACGACAAAGTGGAGATGTATTATTGAAGCCCTATATTCCTCATGGAACCCAAAGCAAGCAACAACAGTAAGAATAATAACTACTCTTGATTACTTACCAGTAAGAAATTCACACTGAAGACCATACTGCTAGAAAGGATCGTATTCTAGGCCTACTTCCCAAGGTAACAATGCTTAATGAGATGCAAGCAGATAACTAATAAATTAATCAATGTCAAACAGATGTGGTCGATGAAATCAGGCACTTGTATGAATGATAATCGTAACATGGTAACATGAAATCAATAAACTATGCTCACAATGTCATCACTAAAGGGAGACACGTATTTCAATAGGGAAATTACGCTTTCTCGAAAAATTCGTTTAGATACTTGGTTCACCCTTCACTAAAAGCGTTACTAACGGGCTTCTGAAGACTTTTGTCATCAGCTCATCACTCCGCTGCTTAAATACTGACGATTACATGGCTGGCTAGAATCAGGAGCTCTGGACGCTGAGTGAACCAGCCTAAAGCCTGTTGCTTAACAATTATGCAGAAATGGATAGAGATGGTATATGCTGTTGAGAGCATTGAGTGATATTACGCTCCAGGTAGACCCTGGAGTGAAGCCGGAAAGCGACAAGTTGGGGATAAAATTGACAATCATGAAAATGGCTCATAAAGATTGGAAAGAACAGAATTAACTGAAGATGTGCTCCTAAAGGCCTATGTTTCACATAGAACCTAAGGGCGTAATAATAATAATGATAAATGTTAACTCAAGCTTTTATCATAATAAGTTTCTTGTAAATTATTTGTGAATATTGATTTATTTAAGTGTTAGGTGTTAAGTGAGTACTCTTCATCCACTCCTTTATTTATTTATTTCTTCTCATTATCGAGCTACATTATTATTATTTCCCAGGTGAGGATTGGTTAAAATTCCCTTTACATAATGACCTTTATGCTTCAATTGATTTCATATGAATTCATCTTAACTCTTTAATGAGGTGAAACGTTTGGCTTAATTACAACATATTAGTACTATTATGGTTATTAAGGTTATTTATATTTTCATTATTGTTCCTCTCTTGACAAGTTAACAAAATCTGAACTTTAACAATATAAGTACAAATAAGAACGAATAAATAGTTTCATAAGAGATTTCATTATACTTATTTGAATATATCAAGGTTTGTTTTGTAGGGATTTGATCAGATAAAGGTTTGATCTTGAGTTTAAATCAGTTAGAGAACTATTAGAAAACCGAATGGAAGAACTAGAAAGGTCTTTCGTCCAAGTTTGAGACTTTTCATCAGTACGCACCCAACGCCAGGGTTCGAACACAGGACTTTCTGGTTACAAGGCTGGTGAGCTCGTAGACCATTAAGCCATTGGGACCCGAGCCAGTGGCCAGCCGATGAATTCGAAATTCTGCCAATTCCTGACATAGCGCGACTGCTAGCCAATGTCTTCAGCAAGCATTTCTGCTCACACACGAACTGCTGCACCCTACTGGTCATGACTTTATTGAATAAGTTGTTTCGGTTTTTAATTTTGTGTTTCCCATTAACTGGATTGAAACGCTTGATCTCTTAGTTGACATGTCCGGTGATTAGTACAGATGACTCGATAATGTCTAATGATTAACATGGTGTATGGTAACTAGCAATAGCATCGAGGATTTACATTTGTCCCGTTCGTGTCTCGTCAGCTAGAAGTAAGTGATAATGCTCCCACTGAGAATCAAACCGACCACCGGAGACTGTTTCAAATGCCGAAGCGTTATCCAACAGTCTCCTTGAACTAGCTTTCCTGACAGGTACATTCAACAGTAGAGGCTGAAAGAGGACGGAATGTGAATCCTTGATCTCATGTCGATTCGCTTTCATCCAAACAATTTGAATTTTCTTTATTAAAAAGGAACTGCGAATTTCAATTCATCATCTAATAGCTATTCCTCTCTCTTCACCTAATTTTTCATTATTTTGACAATAAGTTGAAAATAACTCAATGTTTTGTAAATATTGCGCAACCTTGGAGATTTTCATAATTTTTTATTCACCTCATCTCTCATCAATTGCTAACACCTATAACTTATCAATGAATTTATGGCTTGTAAATGTCATTTAAAACCTCTCTACTGAGCATTATTATCTTGTGTTTTAACCGTTGTTTCAGACGGTGAAAAATGTCTTCGCAATGGTGATGTAAGTTTCGAATCTTTGAGTGTACATCGGTTCCCTGGAGGTTACACATACTCCTTTCTGACAAGTGGCCTCTTCTATGTTCTGTGAAGCTCCTGTGGAGCCAGTTACATAGGCCGTACATTTAGGCAGATTTATCGAGGCTTTCCAAATCATCTACCACATAGTAACTAATCTTAGCCACGTATATCGTACCCAGCGTTCGCTATCCAAACGCGTCAACGGACATTTACCTTCATGGTTTTATAAAGGAGAAAACCAATGCCTCCGCAGCCCGATCCTTGAACATTTGATCGATTCTGGACACCAAGTCAAACCACAAATAAACTTCAAAGTTATCTACAGAATACAAGGCAATCTTGCTTAGTGTATGGATCAAACTTCTCCACATCGCAGAAGCAGTGGCAATTCATTTGCTAAATCATGAACTCTGCATACAAAAGTAATCTTAACTTTACCTTAAGAGCTTGTCTAATGCATACTGTTGAGGCCGTTGAGATCTACACTAAGAAACCTAACTTATGTATCCGAAAGTAGTTGGTGAAGGCACTGTCCTTACCCCGCTGGCTATCAAGGTTTTCATGATCCTCAATTTGTTGTGGGAATTTCCTGAATTTTATTTGATATTCTATTGGCTATTACTTTTTTATGCTTATTATAACTTATGCATCTATCGTGAACTGTTATTTCATTGATAATACTTAACGAATCGATAGTATTAGGTAAACACCAATACTGTTAATAACGATAATTCTAGAATATTCTATATATATATATATATATTCCCTATAATTGGTTTGTAAGGATTTGTTTTTTTACAAGTTGATCATGGGTTGATATCAGTTAGAGAACCATTGAAAAACAAGGTGTACAGGACAGCTGTTTCATCTTAGTTCGGGAATCATTGGCAGTACACACCGACAGGGTTCGAACCCAGAGCCTCCTGGGTCATTGAATTAGGTCCTAGTGGCTGAATGGTATACGAGCTTGCCTTGTAAGTGGAATATTCTGGGTTCGAACCCTGGTGGTGGGTGAATACTTCCAATGATCCCCAAACTAGGATGAAACAGCTGTCCAGTACTCCTTGGTATTTAATAGCTCTCTAAATGATATCAATCCGTGACCACTCCGTAAATATATATGTGTATATATATGATATATGTAATTGTAGAGCCAGAAGAGGAAATTATCGAGAAGAATATTCTTTGCTCAGTTTGTCTACTTTTTTATAAACGTTATGGTTAATCAGGCTCTTTTGTCAATTGTTTCCAAACGTCCATCATCAATTCAGAACGTTGATGTCTTGACTAGATGTTTGTCACTGAGGAATATTCACACCTTGTTATGATTATAAGCAACGAATTGTTTTGAGAATGCATTTGTTTAGCTAACGCTAAGTTGGTAAATCTAAAGACAATTGTTTTGACATATTGTAGAGAGCTCCTTTGAATAAGTGATGTGATCTAGGGACCTAGGCTTCAGAGACTTGCACGTTTGTTGTGTACCCTATCTCACCGACTTTTATATCATTCAATGTTTACTAGCCTTTGAACAACATAAGAAAATAGGGGAGAAATGATCAGCCTATAATGTGGCACCATGAGCTGCGGGGAACTGAGGATACAATCAATATATGTGGTTTAAAACCTGTTTCCGATATCTAGAAAATTCCATTATTCCTATGACAATCAATTAATAATCAATGAGGAACAAGAACTTTAAAAATCCCATTTTAGAAGTAGGATAGGTACAATCGATGACGTAATTATGAACAATAAAGAATCATTTTTAAAACTTTGTCATCCAGTGAACCATATTACTCTTTCGTTGTGTGTATATGTGTGCACGATATGCAATAAAGAGATTATGTTGTGAAAAAAATCAACTGATTTGACAGCAGTAAAACGAATCAATAGG